GGAGGGCCGTGGCTAGGAGGGCCGTGACTAGGAGGGCCGTGGCTGGGAGGGGCCATGGCTGGGAGGGCTGTGGCTGGAGGGCCCATGGATGGGAGGCCCTGTGGCTGGGAGGGATCGCGTCTGGGAGGGCCGTGGCTAGGAGGGCCGTGACTAGGAGGGCCGTGGCTGGGAGGGCCCATGGATGGGAGGCCCTGTGGCTGGGAGGGATCGTGGCTGGGAGGCCCCGTGGCTGGGAGGGCCCGTGGCTAGGAGGGCCCGTGGCTGGGAGGCCCCGTGGCTGGGAGGGCCCTGGCTGGGATGCCCTGTGGCTGGGAGGGCCCACTTGCAGCATGACCACTTGGGACTAAGGTCTGACTCGGGGCCTCTGCTTGTCCATAAGCCCTTTCTAAATCAAATTGGAACATGTTTTTTCTAAAAGAAGGAGGAACTTTATTTTATTTTCGCTATCCCCAAAGGGAGGGATTTAGACTCCACTTCATCCCAGCCTCTCCCCCGTGTGCTCTGAGACCGAGGCCTCCCACGTGACTGCCCGGGGCCGGGCCACGACCCCACAGTGGACGCACAGGGCCAACGAGACAGCTGGGGACACCTACCTGCCGGGTGGCCGTTGATCCACAGCCCGCGGTAGACGACCCCCGAGCAGTAGGCCATGCTGCCCAGTCCACTGAAGACGTCACTGTGCCACTGTCCCTGCAGACAGAACCACGAGGCTGAGGCCGGGGCCTCCCCAGGGACCTCCGTGGCCCTTGGGGACCGCAGGCTGCTGGAAATCCACGTTGCCCTGAGGGCCCGGCAGCCTCTCCTTCGGTGGTGAGAAACCACATTGTATTAGAATCTGATTCCATTTGCCCTGCAAAATAGACGCCCCTTTTGAAATTTAGCGGTGCCAGGAAGCGCGGGAGCAACGGCGCAGCACGCAGAGCGCACACAACGCGCCGTGTCAGGGCGTGCTCTCGGCACAGAGCCCTGCTCACACGGAGCTGCTGCGTTTGCACCGCGGCACATGGGACACCCGGACCCGCGGACAGCAACGCCGCAGTGTTGGGGCCTCGGCTCGATGGCTCGTCACGCCGCTCGCCGATGAAGGAAGAGGCCGGTTAAAGCCACGGCGTGAACAGGCGCCGCGCACGCGGGAGGGGTCCGTCCCCGCACCCCCCACGCCGCCTCCCCCGCCGTGGGCCTGCGCTCTGAGCCGCACTCCCGCGGGGGGGAGAGTGGGAAAAACGAGGTGAAGTGGCAGGAAAACTATTTCCATGGAAGATTTCAAGGCCGTGATGGCGTTTGATTTCGCTGTAAATGACTTGTTAGAAGGAGAATTAACCAAAGGCGCGGTTTTGTTCTGTGCACTCTTCTGCAGGAGGTAATTGGGCTCCTGCTTCCCTGCTGGCCCCCCCGGGGCGCCGGTCCACGTGGGGCCCGGGGCAGGGCTGCGGGGGCTCGGGGACCCCAGACCAGGGAGGTGGGGAGGGAGTGCAGTGGGGGTGGGAGTGGGGGACGGCGTGCTCTCTCCCGGGACATGCCGGGAAAGCTGGGGCTCAGCTGCTCGGAGGCCGGGTCACAGCAGGAGATAGCACCCGGGGGTGCGGGGCCGCGGCAGGGGCGGGGCAGCCTGCAGCTGCTGCCCCGGGCAGCTCCTGCCTCCAGGCCCGGGGCGCCGAGACAGCTGGCAGCCCTCGTGGGCGCCTGGCAGTGGCAGCACAACAACTCCGGCTTCAGGAGAGGCCGGGCTGCCAGCTGGGGGCTGGGTGGCAGAGGCGCGGCTGCCACCATGGACAGGGCCCGTCCTCTGAGGTCCCCCAGCCCACCCCCACCCCCTGGGAAGCTCTCCTGGAGCCACAGGGTGACCTCGTCCCCCCAGCACCAGACCCTTGTCCCCCCAGCACCAGAGCCCAGGCTCTGCCCCGAGGCTGCACCAGCTCAGCTTCTAGAATGCTCCGTGCCACGCCAGGCACTTGCCTGGCGTCCCCCCGACAGTCCATGATGGGAAGAGCCACACGTCACCGTGCTCTGGGTCCCGGACGGGCCGCTGCCGTGCCGACAACGGCAGGCGTGAGGCCCCAGAGCCTGGACACGTCCCAGGCGGCACGCGGTGGGGCGAGGTGAGACGGGTCTGGGTGCAGAGGCCCAGATCGGCTCCGGAGCTCCCAGGCTGCACCACCCACCACCGCCCGCCCGGCGTCACGCCCTGCGCCCCCCGCCTGTCCCCGGGACCCGCCTGCGCAGGGGCCTCCTAGGTCTCTTGCGTGCACTTCCGAAGTCCCGCCAAGCTGGGCCGGACCCCTGGGAAGCAGCCTCGGCCTCCTGCCTGGGGCCTCCGCCCGCACTTCTGTCTCTGCAGTGTCCACGCTGGGACCGTCTGGGAGCTGGCGGTGCACTTGTCACTGCGCCAGCACTCCCGGCGGGGGCACGACCGGCGCGAGGCTGGCAGGCCCTTAGGGGCGGCTGCGGCCCCCGCCACCGACAGTCACGGGAACTGTGACGTTTCTGCCGGCTGGAGAGCGTCCCGGGGGCAGGTGTGGGCGCAGGCGGCCACGCACCCACCCACGGCGAGCGCCCGCCCTCGGGAGGAGCGAGACACGCGCAGGTCACGCGTGGAGAAGCGCAGGCATCCGGGTGCGGCCGGCTGGCTGGAGCCGGGGCGCAGGGGCAGCCCGGGGTCAGGGCTCCACTCCACGGAGTCCACCCCCCACCCCACCCCCGAGGGAGGGCGGGCGGCCCCCAACCTGCCACACAGCAGCCCCGCACACCAGCCTCCCGGCGAGCGGCGCCGCTAACTGACCGCAGCGTCTCGTCTCACGCTCTGAATCCCGCGTCTGCAGGGTCCTCACTCCCCAGGAGCCGACACGCTCCCAAAGCGTGAACAAACACGTATCGACACCTGCTGACTGCACAGGTGACGGCCTGGCCGGGAGCCCTGGTGGGGCCACCTCCTCCTGCTGCTGGGCCTCCAGGGAGCGGGGCGGGGCCTGGCGTGCCCCCCCCACCCAGGGCGAGGCCGGGGACCCCCTGGGAACTGGGGTGCGCAGTGCCTCGACATAAACCTCAGGGGCCAGCGCCACCTGCATTCCTTCCTCCTCCCTGCCGGCGACGCCTGGTACCCAGGTGAGGGCAGGTGCCGGTCGGGGGCCATGGCGCGCGGGGCCGGGTCCACACTCCAATTAAGCAAAACCGAAGTGAACAGCGGACGCGACGTCAGGACATGGTCAGGCAGGGATGGAGCAAGGCCCAACAAGACCCTCGGTTGCCGAGGCGACCTCGGGCCATGAGGCTGACACCCAGAGAAGGGGCCTGCGGGAGACGGGCCCTGCGCATCTCGGCCTCCCGCCCAGCCCGCCCTCCGCGCCTGGCCTCCCTCCCGCCTCCCGTGGCTGTGGCGGAGCGCCCACCGCTGCCCCACACGGCCGCCTGGACCCCGTAGGCTCAGCAACGTCCTCACGGAAGCTTCTGAGGATCCCAGCCGGGCTGGGCCGGGCCGGGGACTCTGCGGTGCTGTCTCAGCTGCGAGCCAGTTGGCATGGTGGCTCACGTCTGTAGTCCCCGCACTCTGTGAGCCGGGATGTGAGCAATGCTTGAAGCTAGGAATTCAAGACCAGCTTGGGCAACTCCTCACCACAAAAATTTTTAAATTCAAAAAATTTTAAAAATTAGCCGAGCGTGGTGGCGCACGCCTGTAGTCCCAGCTACTTGGGAGGCTGAGTCAGGAGGATCGCTTGAGTCCAGGAGTTGGAGGCTGCAGTGAGCTAGGCTGATGCCGCTGCACTACGGGCTAGGGCGATAGAGCGAGACTCTATCTCTTACAAAAATAAAAATTAAAAAAAAAATTTTTAGAAAACTGAGCTGGAATGAATTGTCAGGAAGGAGGACTTGGCCCCTTGCTCGTTCCAGGGAGCACGTTCTAGTTGGTGGACGCTGTTTCTCTTTCTGTGGCTGTGCTGGAAGAGACTCCGCGGCTGTCACGTCTCCCCGTCTCTGGCACCCCTGGGACACGCCGAGGCTCTGTCCTTGTCACAGGTCCGCCTGCTCCCGGCACATGGGGCATGTCCTGCCTGGGCCTGGCCGACATGCCCGGCGAGCCCGGCGGGTGGAGGGTGGGCCGTGGGGCTCCCGGCCCAGGCTCCCCGGTGGGCCCCAATGTTGCCTGTGGTCTGGAGGTCGTGACCCCCGCAACCATCGCCCAACGCTGGGCCTGCGGCAGGTGAGGCCTTTCGCGGAGGTCACTGCCTCCCGAAGCAGGTGGGGGCCTGGAGACCAGCCCCCTCCGGTCACCCTGCACACGAGGGTCCCGCCGGACCCTCCTGCCTGGGCCCTGCAGCTGCGGAGGGGGCCGGGGCCTGGGGTGCCTTGCCCAGGGCAGCTCGGTGGGACGGGCGCCCCCCAGTCTTCAGGGACAGGCACCTGGCCTCACCCCCAGTTAAGTGGGGCCACTGGGCACCGTGTCACACACAGTGTGACCTGCCAGGTGTTCTGCTGGTGCGGTTCCAGCTGCTCCGACACCTGAGGACACTGAACCCACAGTTCCCTCGGGGCTCCGGCAGCAGCCCCTCCTCCGCCCCAGGGTGGGGGTGGCAACTGGAGGAGAGCTGGCAGACCCCCACATTCTCAGGGCTCTTCCGTGTTAAAAGTACCCCTGGGGTCGCCGGCCCCACCTGCCTGGCCTGCGTCCCCCGGGGCCTGGGGACAGAGGCGCTGGCAGGTGGGGCCCATGTCCCTCTGTGCTGGCATTCCGCATGTGCCCAGGTGAGGAAGAGGGAGGCGGGGGCCCCCCGGGGGTGAAGGCTCACGGCAAGCAGGTACCGAGCGGCAGGCTCCCCTGGGAGCCAAGACGTGCAGAGCCCAGGAGCCCGTGCCAGCCGGGAAGCCACAGCCAGTGGGGCTCTCTGCGGGGCCGCCCTGTGCTTGTGGGGGCAGCCCCAGCCCTCCCACGCCCCGAGGAGGTCGAGGCAGCAAGACGCAGCCCAGGAACAGGGCGCAGGGGCCCCGACCAAAGAGCGAAACTGGGTGCACGCTGGCGGCTTACGGATCAATTGTTTTATCGTCGAGAGTTCTGACGCTCATTAGGACGGATATTTTAAAAAATAACAACGGAGAGAGATTAACGTGTTGGCGAGGATGTGGAGAAATCTGAACCCTCAAGCACTATTGGCGGGAAGGTAAAATGGTGCGGCCACCGTGGAAAACGGTGTGCTGCTTCCTCAAAAAACGACAAGTAGAATCACCCTAGGGTCCGGCAACTCCACTTCTGGTTATACACCCCGAAGAATTGAAAGCGGGCTTTCTAAGAGATATTTGCACACTGATTTTTGTTGGCTTTTAGAGACAGAGACTCGCTCTGTCGCCCGGGCTAGAGTGCAGTGGTGTCATCACAGCTCACAGCAGCCTCAAACTCCTGGGCTCAAGCGATCCTCCTGCCTCAGCCTCCCGAGTAGCTGGGACTACGGGCATGCGCCACCATGCCCGGCTCATTTTTGTATAGACAGGGTTTTCCTGGGGTGCTCAGGTGGGTCTCATAGTACTGGGCTGAAAATGATCTTCCTGCCTCAGCCTCCCAAAGTGCCGGGGTAACAGGCGGAGCCAGGGGGCCCGGCCCACACATCCTCGTCACAGCATCAGTCACACCGGCTCACCTGTGGGGGCAACACAGGTGCCCTCCCACGGTGGACTGGCAAGCAAGATGGGGTGCACGTACAACG